CAGGAGGCTGAGATCTGAGGATCATGGTTCAAAGCCAGCCTGGGCAGGAAAGTCCATGAGACTCTTATCTCCAATAAACCACCAGAAAACCAGAAGTGGCACTGTGGCTCAAGCAGTATTCACCTTGAGCTGAAAAGCGCAGAGACAGTGCCCAAGCCCAGAGTTCAAGCCCTGTGACCAACAACAACAAAAAAAAATGGATGGGGCTGGGAAGTTGGTTCAGTGGTAGAATGCTTGCCTCTCATGCATGAGGCCCTCAGTTCGATTCCTTAGCACCATATAAGCAGAAAAAGCTGGAAGTGGCACTGTTGCTCAAGTGGTAGAACGCTAGCCTTGAGTTGAAGAGCTCAGGGACAGCACCCAGGCCCAGAGTTCAAGGCCCACAACTGGCAAAAAAAAAAAAAAAATTGGAGAAACAAATTTATGTAGTCTAAATACATTGTAATAAAATAGTTCAATCTTACAGAAAAAATTCAATAAATAACATACAATCACCAATCTGATTTCAAATGCTTTAAACTTGCCACATTTGAAATTAATATTCTTTTTTGATGTTGTTATTGTCAGTCATGGGCCTGAACTCTGGGCCTGGGCGCTGTCCCTCAGCTCTTCAGCTCAAGGCTAGTGTTCTACCACTTGAGCTACAGCGCCACTTCCAGCTTTTTCTGCTTTATGTGGCGCTGAGGAATCGAACCCAGGGCTTCATGCATGCAAAGCAAGCACTCTACCACTAAGCCACCTTCCCAGCCCCTGAAATTAATATTCTTAAAAGGGAGATATACTAAAGAGTTAACCTACAGCTTTTTGTGTAAAGGACTGGAGCAGTAAATACCATCTGCCGTGCAGACCATGCACTTAAGTTCCAACTACTGTGCCACTGCATGCAGCAGGAAAGCAAACCCAAACTAGGCAAATGCATGTGGCCAAATTTGGTCCACCGGGTCTCTGCTACCTCTTGATTATTCTCATATAGATTCAAAGTAAGCCACAACATCAACTATAGTCAATGGTCAGGGGGCTAAAACAGGGAGACCATACATTTGAGGCTAATCTAAGCTATGAAGACCGTGTAAGAGCCATATTGCATACTATACAGCACCATTCCCTGAGGTTGGTTGGTACGAGTTCTCAGTGCAGCATTAAGTGGCCTCAGGTAAAACAACATTATACACATTTCATAGTGATAGTGTGTGTATGTGTGTGCACGGGTGCACACAGCCTACATATAGTACCAGGGCTCAAACTTGAGGCTTTGTGCTCTCGATCAGCTTTCTTGCTCATGATTGGTGCTCTATTATGTGAATCATGCCTCCAGCCTGGCTTTTTGATGTTTAATTGGAAATGGAAGTCTCATAGACTTTCTCTTTAGGCTGGCTTCAAACCTTATCTTCAAGATGTGTGTTTCCTGAATGAAGGGCTAAAGATGTGAGTCACTAGCACCCAGTTTGCCAAGGAAGTTTGTCAGCAGTTACCAGAGTTAGATAATAAGTAAATAAACAAACAAAAAAGATGGACTAGGGATGTGGCTTAGTGGTGGAGTGCTTGCCTAGCATGCATGAATCCCTGGGTTTGATTCCTCAGTACCACATACACAGAAAAAGCCAGAAGTGACACTATAGCTCAAGTGGTAACTGTTCTAGCCTTGAGCAAAAAGAAGCTCAGGGACAGTGTCCAGGCCCTGAGTTCAAGCCCCAGGACTGGCAAAAAAAAAAAAAAAGGAATGGGGAAGGGATGACCAGTTAATAGTTAATATTTGAATAAAATAGCCAGGTAATGGTAGCTTATACCTATAATCCAAGCTACTCAGGATGCTGAGATGGCAGTTCAAAGCCAGCCTGAAGCCAGTCCGGGAAGAAAAATCTATGAGACTCTTATTTCCAATAAACTACTCAGAAAAATGGAAGTGATGCTGTGGTAGTGGTAGAGCGTTAGCCTTGAGCACAAAGAGACTCAAGGATAGTACCCAAGCCCTAAGTTCAAGCCCCAGGCCCAGCAAACATAAATAAATAAATAAATTTGAAAAACTGATTTTGTCTCTTCTACTTTATTCTTTACAAAATTCAAATTCTGGCTTTAAATTTTTATTTGCATATGGTTGAGCCTTTTAAAAAATCATACACAATGCCAGCTGGGCACTGTTGGCTATTCAGGAAGCTGAGAGCTAAGGATCATGGTTCAAAGCCATTCTGGGTCAGGAAAGTCCATAAAACTCTTTATCTCCAATTAATCACCAGAAAACCAGAAGTGGAGCTGTGGCTCAAGGTGGTAGAGCACAAGCCTTGGGCAGAAAAACTCAGAGACAGTGCCAGGTCCTGAGTTCAAGCCCACAACCAAAAAAAAACAAAACAAAAAAACAATTAAAGATATCCCACACAAGTATATACATTGCATCCAAATACAAAAATACAAAAAACAGATAGAGAGAGAGAGAGAGAGAGAAAGAGAGAGAGAGAGTGTGTGTGTGTGGGTGTGCGTGTGTGTGTGTGTGTGTGTGTGTGTACTGGGGCTTGACAGAGGGGCCTAGACACTGTCCCAGAGCTTTTTTGCTCACTGATATCAATCCACTACTTGAGCCACAGCTCCACTTCTAGCTTTTCTTTGAGGGGGGAAGACGGCAAGGGAGGAAGGGGAGAGAGGGTGGTTAATTGGAGAGACAAGAGTCTCACCTACTTTCCTGCCTAGGCTGGCTTCAAATCCAATCCTCAGATCTTGGCCTACACAAGTAGCTAGGATAACAGGTGTGAGCTACTCACATCCAAAAAATGGTTTTAAATTGTTTATCTTGCAATTAAAGAATAAATGTTTAGCTATAGAAGTGATTAATGAACTCATTTTTTTAGGTATTTTGTGTGCCTGTTAGATCAACTAAGAGTTTCTTTGGTTATTTCATACTGGGCCATCCATTCCACTCCACAAAGTACAAAAATTAACCCAACAAACTTCTGTAAAGATACAAATAAGAGGAACCCAAATCTCCCATCACTAAATAAAATCTGCAAAAAACAACTAAAAGGAATTGACAATTGTTAATGGTTAATGGTTTAATAATCTAGCTCTACTTTACAACGTCGATGGAGGGGGAAAGGGGGGAAGGAGAAGGTTTGGGATTGGGGGGGAGGGGGGAGGCTGGGAAGGGATGTGAAGGGTAAAATAAGAAGGAGGCTGCAATGCTTGGTAAGAAATGTACGCATTATCCTGCCCATGTAATTGTAACTCCTCTGTACAGTATGTTCACAAATAAAATAAAATAAAATTAAAAAAAATAATCTAGCTCTATTCTCTAGACTAAAAATTCTGCTCAACACTACTAAATTTGAACAGTAATCTTATTTTTTATTTTTATTTATTTCTGACAATCTTGAAACTTGAACTCAGGACCTGGGCACTATCCCTGAGCTTCTTTTGTTCAAGGTTA